AAAATGGGGGGTCGGTAAACCCGAGTGCGGAGGGTGTATTCATGTCGTAGAAAGGGAGACTACCCTGCACCGCCCTTGACCACCTCCACTGCTCGCGCAAACATCCATCCCACCCACCGAACCGCAACTTGGTTTGCAAAACCATGCGGCGGCGATTGCGCTGCATGCTTGGCGTTGGCTGGTGCATCCCTGCGGCCGCGCCAACCCTTGCACGCGCGCGCAACGGCCAGGTAGTTTGGCGCCACCGACGCGGCCGCGGCGGCGCTGACCGCTGGGCGCATCCCTGCGCGGGCGCCGATTCTGATCACGCTGACGACAATGACGGCGTCCTCGAATCGTTGATGGAGGTTCTGGAGAAATTCGACATGCGCGGGGGACCCACGCGCGAGAGTAGTCAGCATGGCTTCATTTGACACGGGTCGTGAACCCCCCCCAGTACGCGCGCAAGGGCGCGCGAATAATGTCGACATGCGGCGCCAGAGGCCCGCTTGGCAGATTTGCATGGTAATGTTGAAAGCCGAATTAGTTGTGTCAAGAATCCGCAAAGCGCGCAAGCATTTCTTGAACATTGATGTTGCGAAACGATGTGGTTTTTTGTTATATGTGTTTTGGACATTCGGTTTTGGAACCGCTGCGAAACCGCATGTCTTTGAAAGGTTTCGGCATACGCGCGCGACGGCGCTCGCGTGCGCATATGGTCCCATTGGTCGCAAAGGAGACTCACGACGGCACGCGCGCAAAGGCCTTCGAACGATTTCGGCATGTTCTCAAGAATTCGCAAATACGTGCATTTTTTGTTTTGGAAAGTAATGTTGCGAATCCCGGTGTTTTTTTTATAATATGGTGTTTGGACACTCGGGTTTGAAATCCTTCCGAAGCTCACGGTGTTTGAAAGATTTCGGCATGCGCGCGCGCGACGACGCGCGCGTGTGCACTTCGTCCCATGTGTTGCAAAGGAGCCTTGGAATCGAATGATTCTTGATAAACGAATGTGCGCGCATAGCCTTTGTTGCAAAGGATGGCGGGGGGGGCCGATACCGGCTGGGCTGGGATGGTACGAGTTCATATTTAGGATGGACGATAGGCCAGAATCCAAGGTAAACTGCAATGCGAAAAGGGGGGCGATAAACCTGGGGGGGGTGGGGGGGGGATCCTAATTCTTTTGTAGAAAGGAGAACCCATGTTGCGGCGACGAGGCGGCGACGGCGAGTACGGAGCAGCCAGGCCACCAGCCAGGCCCATACAACGGGCGGCGATGAGGCGGCGACGGCGATCACGGAACCGCCAGATTGCCAGCCAGTTCCTCAGAAGAAAAAAAAGAACCCTTAAGTACAAGCACTGTTTAGGAAATCTCACCAGTCCTCTGGGCGTGAGTGGTTAAGAGCGTTTCCTCTTCTATCTTCCCTCTTCCTCTTCGGGGATGGGTTCATCCCACTCCCTGACACCTCCCTCTGGGCCTGAAGTGGACGTGTCGCGACGCGTTGGAGCGTCCAAGATGGCCTCAACGAGGAAGCCCAATTAGTGCATTTACTATAGTTCTGGGCCCATTTTGGCCTCTGGGGGGGGGAACGCTAATTTACCACGACCCGTCCTTTGGTAGATTTCCTCTAAGATGGCTCAAAGATGGCCCTCGAGGTGCCCAGGAGGCCCCAAGAGTCCTCCAAGAGGCCCCCAAGATGCCTCCAAGATCCCAAAGAGGCCCACAGGGGCCCACGAAAGGCACCCAAATCCCCCCAAGAGGCGCCCGGGACTGCCAAGTTGCCCACAAGACGCCCCATCCATGAGGCGTCCAACAAAGCTCTCGAAATCCGAAGAGACTCCGAGAGGTATCCAAGAGGCCTCTGGCCTTTCTGCTCGCCCTCCGCCTCCTCCTCCGCCTCCTCCTTCTTCTTCCGCATCCGCCTATTCATCTTCCTTCCTCCTCCCTCCTTCTCCTCCTCCTGCTCCTCTTCCGATTCCTCATCCATCCTCCCCCTCTTGGGGTATGGCGTCTTACCCAGCCCTTTGTTCCACTGCATGCTCCTCCACATCGCTGATCAAGGCAACTCGTCTGGGCATCGTTTCTGGATGGGCTGGTGGGGTCAAGCGACACGTCCAGAATACTCCGGCGATAGCCTGGGAACTCCGGAGGGGAGGGGTGGGGGGAGGTGCCGGCCGATACCATACTTAAAAACCTTTCGCTATGAGCAACCCCACGCATGCCTGCGCGCACCAGGTACTGCGCACCTCCCCTCCAGCGTGCGCAGTCGACAAGGTCAGTCTATCGGGGGGGGGCGGGGGCGGGGGCGGGCCCGATAACCTGGGTTATCGCTGGACCCCAAACATCAGTCTCTTGGGGGTCGATGTACCTAGATCTCCGACGATGTGTGTTTTCAACCGACGATTTGTCATCGATTGGCACTCGGGGGCTGTGTTCGGATCCCAAGGCCAGCAACAACGGATCCGAAACTAACAACTACAATAATGGGTCCAGACCGCTGAGTCCGCAGATTGAAAAATCCGATCGGCCGATGTCAGGGTACGTTCCTTGGCAGCGGCCATCTCAGACCCCTCCTCAGACTACCAACGTATTCAGCAAACATCACACGCAGGTCAACCTGGGGCACGGGTCGGGACTTCCAGGGACCCTATAAAATTGAAAAATGGCAGCATCGGATCCTTACGGAACGCGCATGGCCAGCGCTCATTCGGGCCAGCGCTCATCCGGGCCAGCCAAGGCCAGGTCTCGCACCCCCGCCAGCCGTATAGTGAAGAATAGCTCCCAACGCCCGGACAATTGAAGGGAAGGGAGACCCGGACCTCCGACGTCAGGTCCTTTTTCATGACGTCGACCCTAGAGGTCTGGATCACTTCCCCTGTAACGGCTTTCCAGCCTGAATCGTTTTTTGACGGTCCCGAGGCCCGGCCAGGGGCCCCCAAAAACGCAAATATGGAAATACCTCCCGTTCTGTTTTTTTGTTGCACTTCCCGAGGTGCGAGCATGCTGCGCATGGCATGTAGTAAATGATCGGATGAACGATGAGCCTATGCTGGGGGAGCGACGGGGTCTGGGGAGGTAGGCGCATTGGCTCCACGTGGCCCCAAGACCTGGGTCAGCCAGGTGGGATCGAAAGAGATTCGCCGACCCCCTCAGCGCCAACTCACGTCACGAGAACCCCGCCCCCACGGAACCCATAGATCCGACGTGCTGATTTTCTCCATGCGGGGCCCTGGGAAGTCCCGACCCATACCCATGGCCTGTTCTTAGAGGCCTCCTAGATGGGGTCGGAGCATATGGGGTCGCAGTATGCAGCGTCGACGTCGGCGATGCATCGGCGACGTCGACGTGAAGCAAATCGAGCTGCACATCGAGCCGCATCGGCGATGCATCGGCGATGCGGCGCGATCCTCCGACCCCATCCGCTCCGACCCCCTCCGGGAGGGCCGGAGCCCTTCGCCCCGAGTCGGTCTTTGACGGCCCCGGGGCACGGCGAGGCCCCCCAGAGGCGGAAGACAACGAGAAACGTGCGCTTACTTCTCGTAAGGAACCGAACTCTGTACACCGACGGTTGTTCTGGCCCTGCACTGAGATTTGCAGCCAGGAGAGCGAATCCTGGTGTCTACGGGACCCTGGTGTACACATTGTTCATAGTTTCCCAGGAATGCGGGGACAAAAAGAGTCTACCACACCACCCCGACGTCGCCTGGGATTGAAACACCGCCCGCAGCTGGTAACGTACATGTTCCAGTTTCCTGTTTTGTGTCAGTCCGTGGGAAGTCTGGGAGGGGGTCGAGAAGGTGGCCTGGACGCTGGACGCCCGAGATACAGGCACGGGTAGCATCGGCATGATGCCCAGTAACCAAGAAGTTGCCCAAGACGACGACGGCCGCTGTTGGGCTGGCGGCCTCCTGCCTCGAATGGACACCGCCCGCAGCGGCGCCGACAGCGGTTCCTGTTCAAAGTAGACAGGATTTTCTGTCAGTCTTTGCACCCATTCTTTCCGTACCCATTGCGATCCTCCAGAGTTCTGGGGGGCGGGCCGCGGTCGGTTCGAGCATCGACGCACCGATCGTGGTGTCGGATGCCTGGAGCCGCATGGCCGCTCCTTGGCCCCTCTGGGGTGCCTCGGGAGGATTCGACGGGCCGCCCCTCTTGGGGACCTGAGGGGGGCAGCCGCCAGACCCAGACATCCCCCGAAATATAATTTGCTCAATTCGAGGACCCAGAGGCCCCGACCCTTTCGCTGGAGAGTCCCGCGGCCCGGATCCTTTCTTGAGAAGGCCCCGGCCCAAGCAGGCGCCCCGAAATCTGGAGGACAAGACGCCTGGAAGTGCGGCGGGACAAAGCGGCCGGAAGTGTGGAGGAACGGGCGCTCGGATGGGCGAACGCCTGTCCTCGGAGTTCTGGGCAGCGCCTCGCAGAGGGCCCTGCGAGGCCTCGGGGAGCTGGCAGCGCCCGGAGACACAGGGGGGGCGCACGGCGGGCTGGGCTTCTGCGGGCGAGGCTTGTGAGAAGGCGAGGCTCCTCGGGCGCCTGCCCAGCTCCCTTCACGCCTTCGTGGAAGCCTCAAAGGGCCCTCCAGCAAGGCCCCTCCGCCTTCTGGGGAGCCCCTCCGCCTTCGCGGTGGTCTGCCACCCTCGCGCCACGCTTTTACGGGCGCCGCGCTGGACGGGGTTTTCCGTGTTCGTTTCGCTTTTCGCTCACCCCGGTTCTGTCTTCGTCCCGCCGTTGCCGCACGAGGACGCCAAAACGAAGCAGGCCTACGAAGTCGCCAAAGGACCGTTCAGCTCGAGCACTGCCTCGTTGGAAGGCCTTGGTTGGAAGCTGTTTGGGGGCCTGCTCTCCAGGGGCCGTCCTTTTATGTCCGACACCTTCTCTGACGAAAAGGTGCTCGGCGAGCTTTGGAGCCCAAAGTGGGACGCTGGAGGCCACCCTCCCGACGCAAAGCGCGGGGGCTGGAGAGACGGGGCCTCGTGCAGGCCCTGGAGAACTTACAAGGCCTCGGGGACCTCCCGGGCTCCTCGCGGCTGTCGCCCCAGCGCAGGTGCTCAACGTCGAAGAGCAGCTCGTCCTGCTCGGAGTAGCCCGCCACGGCGGCGGCCCCCGCCGCGCTCTCGCCGGAGCTGCTGCCGCTGTCACCCTCGTCCGAGCTCGAGGACGAGGCGGAGTCCTCGCGGCGGTGCCGGGGGCCACAAACCTCCGACGCTGTGATTGTGGTCAACAGCGGTTTTTCATCGACTTCGGCCCTACAAGGGGGCCATTTGCGGGCCCATCAAAACACAGGTCCGGGCCAAACAAGTGTCCCCTGGGAAGCGGTGGATCTCCTGGACGTCTGAGGATGTGCCTGTGTCGACCTCGGCGCTTCTCCTCGATTTCGCCTCCTGCCACCAAAAATGGGCCCAGGGCGCAGAACAGAGCCCAAGGCGGGGAGCTGGGAGCTCTGGGGCCGCGAGGTGAAAAGCATGTGTCGGAGGCTGCCTGGTGGGGAGCCAGCAACGACCCACCCATGCCCAAAACCACTCGAAAAAAGATTGGTGGACCCCTGGGTCCTGTCGGGGGCGCGCAAACATGGATTAGCGATCCATGGATTTTGTGCGCGGTGGCCTAATCCATGGATCGGGGGAATTGCCCTCCCCAAAATGCGGCCGGTGCCGCCTCGTTCAGCGGCGGAAATCCGAGATTTCCCATGGAAACGGGACCCGTCGCTAATCCACGCCCACTTAATCCATCCCCTTAATCCATGTTTGCGATCGCCTGATCCTGGCAATACTTCTCGCAAAAGGAAGCGATCCACCGAAGTCGCCCCCGAAACGAAGGGCCCAATTTTGGTACTGGTGGGCCTCAGGCCCTTTCCGGCCCTGGCTGCCAGCGGCGTGTCGGCGGCGGCTCGGCGTCGAATCTCCGCACGGGCGGGGGCTCCCCCGGGAATCAGCCGGCATCGAATCGGGAAATCGGAACGGATCGGAACGTGCATCAAGTCGGATTGAAGGAGGAAGAGAAGGAGGAGGAGGAGGAGGAGGAGGAGGAGGAGGAGGAGGAGGAGGAGGAGGAGGAGGAGGAGGAGGAGGAGGAGGAGGAGGAGGAGGAGTAGGAGGAGCAGGAGGAGGAGGGGGTGGAGGAGGTTTGTTTCACTGGAGGAGCGCGAGGGCGCGGAGGAAGGCAAAAGCAGCTCTGACGCCAACACCTGTGCACGCTGACGAGAGGCGCATCGGAATGGGTCGGAACTGATCGGCACGGAATCGGAATCGGATCGGCGGCGCCACGATGCACAACGGCACCAGGCAAGCATCTGGCCGCATCGCACTGCCCAGCGGCGCCAGGGAGGGGTAGGAGAATTACTGCAAGGCATCCGCCCTCGGCCACTGACGAGACGTCGTATGTCTGAACCTCTGGGCCTACCGACCCGCCGCTTGGAAGCCCACCGTTACGCTATGTAACGGGACCAAATCTGGAGCCAGAGGTGAACAGAGACAATGGCGAGCGAAGGAGGAGGAGGAGGAGGAGGAGGAGGAGGAGGAAGAGGAGGAGGAGGAACAACAAGGGAATGGCTGACACGAACAAGCCCCATACTCGCATCAGCCGATTTCCGTGCGCAGCCTGACTGCCCCCTATGGTAGAGGAAGAGCAACTTGTATAGACACGAACGTTTAGAAATCCGCGCCGATTTCTTGGATCCGCGCTGGACCCCCGTCCCTGGGACTCGGAGCGCCAGGGGCAGCGCCGGAGGCGCCGCCAGGGGGGCCCAGCGCCGATCCGAGAAGTCCGCGTGGAACTCCGGGATTGTTAATGCGGTTGATTACTCTTCGAAATAGGTCGCCCATCGCTGCGCCTTCGCGCCCTCGCAAAGCAACTCTGGAGAGGAACACCTCTGCGGCCCAGGCCGCGACGCGCAATTTTCGCGCCACCGTGGGTGACCTATTGCCATCGTGCTACCGTGGGGAACGTCAAAGAAGGACCATAAGGGCTTTTCTGGCCACGGCACGCCTCGGACACAAGAAGGTTTCCCGACCTAGGTCCATGAAACGGCTCGAAAAACGAAGCTCCTCCTGGCCCCAAAGTGGTGCTTATTTCAGCACCTTGACTGGACACCGCTCTGGATGATGCGGAGTCGTGCCGAGACCCCTCGAGCGCCCTCGGCGAGGCGCAGTCTCCTGCAGGCACCTGAGGAGAGGTTAGAGGAACAACAAAGTGCACAAACATACGCTTTCGAAGCTCCGCGCGGGTGCCTTTGAGGGGGCCCACACACAAATAAATAGATACAAATAACAGGATTCCCCATCCTTCGCCATATTTTCAGGGTGTTTGTCTCCCCCCCACTCCCCATATTTTCCCATATTTTCTGAGGGATCGACGATTCATTGTGTCTGTGTGTTTTTGTTCCCTCCTGAGTCTTGGATCGGCGCAGGGCCCCCCTCCGGAAGTGTACAGTGCGGGCGCGGCCGCAAGAGATCGTCGCAAGGAGCCCAACCCCGAGAACCCGTGCGCGAGGTGCGTCTGAGGGGAAACCTGGAGCACCCTGAACGCAGCAGCTCCTTCAACGGCTGCGGGAAGTCACCGCGCAGCGCGAGGAGCGAAGAAACCCTGGATACCCTGACGAAAAGCATATGGTTTCTTGATGTGCGCCCCCACGGTATGTTTATGCATTTGTCTTATCCTCGAGAGGCGAGGAAACCTTCAACAGCCAGCGAAAACCAGCGAGCACATAACAGCAACCGAACGGCCGGCGCTGGCGGCGAACGGCCGGCGCTGGCGGCGAACGGCCGAAGGGAGGGCTGGTTGGGCCTCGTCCGCGTGCTCCGTCTCCGCCTCCTCCGCAGCGGTGCAGTGCCGCCGCCCTGGCTGAGCTGAGGGGGGGGGCACCACCGAGACTGGCTCTCGTTCCCGACGCTCCTCCTCCTCCTCCTCCTCCTCCACCTTCTCCTCCTCCTCCTCCACCTTCTCCTCCTCCTCGCTAACCTCCCCCCTCTTCCCTCAGCCCTCAGCCCCTCCTCCTCCTCCTCCTCCTCCTCCTCCTCCGCAGCGGCCTGTGCAGCCCCAGCTGCACGACGCCATGGGGCGGCGCGCTCGGCGCGCCCCCCCCGTGCGGGGGGGAGCCCTGCGGCGGGCGGTGCGGCCGCCGCCCCCTCACCCCCCCAACGGCTGGCGCGGGCCGGCGCCGCGAGCCGAGGGCTCGGCGGCGGCTGCCGGACGGCGGGGGCGCGGCGGAGGGTCGGCGACTCCGACAGGTGTGGTTTGCTGAGGGTGCAGTTTGCAGCCCGCGCCCGGGGGGGGCGAGCGAGGACCTCGACAGAGATCTCTGCCGCGCCCGGGTGAGAGCTCATCAGACCTTTGGCGCAACGTGGCGAGGCCCTAAGCCCCAACGGCGCCGATCGCAAACCACACCCTGGCGAAACGACACCCATTGTGGTCGCCGAGAGGGGGCCCCTGCAAGAGGGACCAGGCATGATGAGGGCCACCGGTAGGGATAAGGGGCAATGGTAGGGAGCCCGCGTTGCTTTCTCGGTTTCCCTCCCCCTCGGTCGCAGGCCCCCCCAAAAAAATGAGTCCAAGTAGATGGAGTCGGAGCTGGAGCACGATCATCTACATCCCAACGTCGCATATGCATCGCAGGCGAGTCGACGATGCGTGAGCCCACCTATGTACTCCGAACACATTTGGGATGCCTCCAAGTGGTCCCTCCCTCCTGAATCCTCTCTTGAGGTCTCTTGAGGGGCATGCTCCGGGGGTGAAGCATCGAGCTACAGTCGGCGATACATCGCCGACAGATCGGCGATAGGCCCCCGAAAGCATATCCGCACGGTGCTGGGCGGGGGTGGGCGATCGGGCCCGATGTATCGCCGACTCATCGGCGATTGGTTGCGATTGGGTGCCGATGCATCCTCCCCTGCGCCTATCCTCCTGTCCCCTGTGCTGCCGTTGCCCGCTGGCTTTCGGGCCAACGCTCGGAAGTTCGGCGGCAGCTCGGAACGATCCAGACAAACCAAGAACGCCCTCGGTGAGGCGCAGCTGCTGGACAGCACCCCGAGGATGGAGCACCGCCGGGAACCGACGACAGCTCGAAGCTGCGCCCCCCCCCTGAGCCCCATCCCCCCCGAAACGTTCTTCCCCGCCCCCTCGGAGCCCATCCACACCCCGACGTTTCCCCGACTCAAAATCTCGGCTGCAAGCAAGAGCGACCGCACCGCTTCCCGTCGTCCGGGGGGCCCCAGAGTGCCCGCACCGCACAAGTTTCTCAGAACATTCTCTGATGGGCCCACAGGCTGACAGGCAAGCCAGGACGCTTCGCCACTGCCTGTGTGCTCTAAAGCCTGGCGGCTCGAAGCCGACGGCGCGGGCCCGCTGGCAGCGCCTCTGGCGGCGTGCGGCGGCTGCTGGGCGGCGTCGACGGAGGCCTGCGGCGGCTGCGGGTGTCACTCTCTCTTCCTCTCCCTCCCTCCTCCGTCCTCCCCCCCTTTCCTCCATTCTCCCCGTCCATCCTCCCCCTCCTCTCTCTTTCGCCCGCCCTCCCTGCTCCACCCTCCTCCCTCTCCCTCCTCCCTCCCGGCGCGCGTCCCGACGCCAGACGCCGAGAACCCCAGAAAACGTGCCGAAGCCCACACACTGGAGAGAGGAGAGAGGAGGGGGACGGAGCAGGGAAGGGGGGGGGGAGCATGGACGAGGGAGAGGAGGGAGGAGAAAGGAGAGAGGAGGGGCAGGGAGGAGGGCGGGAGGGAAGGAGGACCCGCCCCCCTCCCCCCCCCCCCTCCGCCCCCCCCCTCCGCCCCCTCCGCCCCCGCCCGACCCCCCCCCCATCCCGGCTGGGGCAGCCCCCCTGCGGGCCTTGTCCCTGGCGGATATCCTGACGGGCGGGTGCCCGGGCGCCCGGCGCGCGCCCCCGCAGCCCCTCCGCCCACCGCCCACTCTGCGCCGCGCCGGCCCACCGCCCGCGCCAAGGACGACGGCGGTCGTCGGCGACGAGCGAGCCGACCACGACGACAGCGACGAGACGACGAAGACGACGAGCGACGAAGACGAAGACGACGCCGTCGACGACTGATGGAATACAACGAAGACGACAATGACGAAGACGACGGCGACGAGACGACCACGGCGACCGCAGCGGCGACAGAAAGGAGGTTGGCAAGGAGCCCCTGGAAGACTTCTGACGTCCAGAACGAGCCAATACCGACGAGACCTGGGTCCTCGATCCTCGAACTTCGAAGAGGAAAATGGAGGAGAAGAGAAGAGAGGGGGGCGAGATGCAAGATAGGCGTGCTCGCGCCATATCTGACATGCAACCTCTCCCACCCATCACTGCCCATTGCGATGAACTACGTTGTACCCGTCGACTGCGGTGTCCTGAAGGACTTTGGTTCCCCAATTGGCCCCATCGTGCGATGCGCAACCACAGGGGGGCTTTGTACAGTGGAGGTGGAGGTGGCGGATGAGCAGGAGGTGCCGAATGAGCAGTAGGCACTGCACATTTCCCACCGCTTACCTATGGTCCCCGCAGATGGGAGTGCGCGGGGGGGGGGTCGTCAACAGTCTTCGAGGCTCGAAAACAAAGTGGAACAAGGGTGCCAGAGGCACAGATCTTTACACATTAGACAACGAGCCCACTGCGGGGGCCGACTTTTTGTCAAGCAACGTGGGTCGGTCGCGAGTGGGTCGCGGGAAGGTCGCGCTTCAGCAGCGCAGCAAGGGACAATGTAAGACCGTGCGGCTCCTACTTATGGTGACCCTGTAGCTGCAAAATCTCAAAACACTTGCAACACATTATAAAGGTGGAGGGCGGGAATGGTTTCACACTATGGCTCCCGCTTCAACGCATCGCACACTCAATCTAAACGACTTTCGGAAATTCGACTGGGTCGAGAACGAATTGTTTTCAACATGTAGTTAGTTCACGCTTCTGCGCCGTGCACACCAGTCGTATACAACTTGCCAACTGCTACGCATGTGGAAAGCGGGCCATTTTCAAGATGCGGCTCCCACATTTCGCTTGAATCTTCCCCCACCACATCTGACCCGACTTGCAATCTTGTGACATCTTGTGCATGAACGCGGGTCGAGGGCGTCTCCAGTATGCAATGGGGATGACGCTGGAGACTCCCGAATCAACATGGTCAAATGGGTGAGGGTGCCCGGGAGCTGCAAGAATGGATGGGGAGTCCTGCCATGAATCTGCATATTCGCAATGCAAACCATGATACCGGAGAAAAAACCCAATCAGACTTTATCTTCCAATTGCTCCCTTTGTAATCGGTCGGAGCGGCAGGGCTATAGGGCTATAGGGCTATCGGGCTATAGGGCTATCGGGCTATCGGGCTATAGGGCTATCGGGCTATAGGACTATAGGGCTATCAGGCTATAGGGCTATAGGACTGTGAGCTGTATGGGCTATGGGGCTAGAGGGCTATAGGGATATATGGCTATTAGGGCTATAGGGATATAAGGCTATAGGGCTACAGGGCTATAGGGCTACAGGGCTATAGGGCTATAGGGCTGTAGGGCTATAGGGCTACTGGGCTATTGGGCACCCCCGGGCACCCGGGCACCCCCGGGCACCTCGGCACCCGGGCACCCGGGCCGGGCCACCGAATCGGCCACGCACCTCACCGGCCACCCGGGCACCAAGATCCGCCGGGCACCCGGGCACCGCCGGGCACCCGGGCCCGGCCACCGAAATCGGCGACAAACCTCACGTAACCCTTTAATCCGCTAGGACCCCTACAGAGGCAAGCTCTGATTGGGGAAAATTCGTTTTCAAATCTGGGCGCCCGACTGAATGTCAAACACCAGGAAACCCTCTTCTTTCGATGGGGATCATTCTTTCGTGAAAAAAATGCCGGGAATGGTGAGGAGTAGACACCGGCCAACAGGGTGCTGAGCAGCGTCGTTGCGCATCCTGTAGTTACTCTGGTCCACATCCTGCTCATCACCCTCTTCCACCTTATCTGATATTGTTCATCCTCCCCCCTCCTCTCCATCGTTACTCCTCCTCCAAAAGTTCCCCAAATGTTCTCTTCTTCAGCATCGACCTCCGCCTCGTCATCATCATCTACGTCCTCGCCTACCAAATTCCTCCCAACCTTCACCTCTTCGCACTTCCTCGACATCCTTGGCGAAGATAAAGCATGCACAGGAGAACGGGGGCCTATATTGAAACACCCCCTCCCTCGACCTGGCACTGCAGGTCGGGCAAGCTACGTGCAAGTTTACATGGGGATGTGCAATCAATTTGTCGGTGGGGATGTACCATACGTCTTCATCCAGCCTGTGGGATTCATCCTCGTCGAGGACATGCTCGCATCCGCGGTTGTCGTCTGCGCTTTTCTTCTCGAACTGATGCGTTGTCGTGTCCGGCTGTTGCTATTCTCCCGTTGCGCATCCTTATGCCATCGCCCGTCTCCGTCGGGTCTCGGACAACTCCTGGGAGTTCACATCGTGGACCTGTGCCAATGCGTTCAGTAATCCGTCACTCCATTCGCGGAACTTCTTCCGATCTCCGCTGAAGCTTTTAGCGATTGCATTGCCTTCGATTCGCTCACGGCCTTTGGTGGGTTCGCTTTTGTCCGACCCTACATGTTCAGCGAACTGGGCAAGTAACACATTGGTGTTCATGTGTCTTCGATTATTCTCTCAAATTCGGCCACTCGCATCTTGACTTGCGTGGTGTCCACTTTGGACTTGCTGTTCTCGCGATTGGCGATATTCAATAATTCTGCGTTTTGGTTACCCAGGCATCTCATGAGTGACATCGCGCGTTCGCTGGGCAAGTAAGTGTTACCCGTGCGCTCTCGTTTGTCATGGTAGTTTGTCATCGCGTCATCGTTGGCCTGCAGGCCTGCTTCGACGAGATGAGAACGACCTTGATTGTTCGCGGTAAGACAGTAAAGTCCGAAGGTGACCATGCTGTGTTCAAACCTTTACTGTCGTGATGTAGGTATTGGTGGACCTGCTCTGGTTGCCATGGTCTCGCTCCAATACCAATCACATTTAACAAGAAAATTATGACAAATACAAAGCACTCGTTTAACAATAACCTGCCAGCGCTGAAAATGCACACACAC